TATAATATATATATTATATAAAATTCAAAGATATCAAAATAGTTACTTCAAAAACAAAAGAAAACAAAGCCCCACCCAAACCCACCACTTAGCATGACACACAAAGGGTGTGTGTGTGTCACTGGGAAGCGTGTATAACCTCCTAACACAACTTCTGTTTGGTTACGGCCGCAATCCTAGCACGCTGTCTCGGCCTTAAATCCTACTGTATTCAGTGGGACTGAACTCCCAAAGTAAACGTGCAATAAGATTGCAATGCATAAAGGACAGTGTGAGAGAAATACTCTTGTCCTGGTATACTGTATCTGCCAATAATACCTGTCTTATTTTAGCACCTTTTCCACCATCAGAGCCAGCCCCCCCACCACGAAGTGCATCATTTCTAGAATACTCTGCCCTTGATAATAAACATCTTTCAAGAGCAACACTAACCCTACTTCCTTCAAAACAAAGCAGCAGCCTTCTATCCAGAAACAACCCCCACGGGATCTGCAAAAAAATGATAATGAACGCTTCCCGCCCTCCCTGGGGGAAAAAAAAATCACAATGCTATTACAAACGCTTGCAAAAAAAGAAAAATGATAGAAAGGGACACGGAGGAAATGCATTGATCGGTGTGCTTTGCTCGGGTCGCACTGAGGAGCTTTTTAATCGGACGTGTGCACGTCCATGCTGTAATCCAGCGTCTCCGGGGCTGAGGCATCATCTTCTCTCTGCTCCATATAGGCTTCTGTTCTTTCTGGAGACTCCACCCGGCTTCGTATTTCTGCCACCCCCGGGTGGTTCTTCCTCAGGTGCTGGTTTAAGGTGCCCTGAAAAGGAAAACACTTCCCACAGACCTCACAGCGGAAAGGCTTGTCGTCTGTGTGGCCACGGATGTGGTATTCCAGCTGGTCCTTGCGGGTGTATTTTTTCCCACAGTACTTGCACACAAAGGGGGTGATCCCCATATGTAACCTCATGTGCCGGTCTAGGCTCCCTTTCTGGTTGAAAGATTTCCCGCAGTATATACAGATTAGCCTTTCACTGTACGCGTACCAGTGGCCTCTTGAATTCCTCTCCCGCGGGCTGCTTTCGTACACCGCGTGACCTCCGACGGCTTCGGCGTCGGCTCCTTGCACGAGGCCCGGAAGATCACTATGCAGGTGGCTGGAGGAGACCCGTTTCTGACGCCCACGGCCTCTGAACGAACCCAGGATAGATCGCGAACTGCTGGAGTTCCTCAGGCTCTCAAAGGTTTCGGACAGCCCAGCAGCCTGGGACGCGCCGTGAGAATACGAGTAAGCGTTCTGCAAGACCGAGCTGTAGGAGCCCACATTCACGGCCACGACTTGTTCGCCGTCCACCATTTCCGTGTGGTAGCCGTCATCCCCGAGCGAAGAGCTATCGGAGCAGCTGGGCCGGTCGGACTTTTCCATCTTCACTTTTACCTCTGCAGCCGGGCTCTCTCGGACGGCCACGTCCCCTTGGTCGTGCTCGCTTTCGATCTGAACCTCGTATTCCGAAACGCTCCCGCTACTTCCCCGGTCCGAGTGGCCTTCCTCCTGCAGACGGCTGCGCAGGGACTTGGTTGGCGTCGTCTCCATTCTCAAATCGCCGGCCGAAGCGGACTGCCGCCCCTGAGAGCAGTAAGGAGGGGAGATCTCCACCGGGTTGGCAAAATAGCTGTCGTCTTTCACCCCGTTGTGGTGTTCGGGAGCGTCGTCGGCCCCAACCGTGACGGAGTCGACCTCGCCGACGCTGATCTTCGAGTGGATGCTTTCTAGTATCTGGGTGCACTTGTCAATGATGCATTGCATTTGCAAGAAGCTCGCGGCTGTTAAGAAACTGACCACGTCCTTTAGCTGCAAGGACATCTTTCCAGTGTAACAAAAAGAAAGTAGCTGCTCAAAGACGCTGGGGTTTTTGATGACCGATATCGAGAGGCCGCTCATGGTGCTCAACGCCGAATGATCACGGAAATACGGAGAACTGGCAGCTAGAACGGCTTTGTGAGCTCTGAACGGCTGGCCCTGAATATGGACAATGATATCACAAAGCTTCCCCTGCAGGCGAAGCTCGTTCAGCTGGCTCAGGACGGTGTTGCTGTACTCAGGAACATCAAACTGGATGAAACTGCTGCTGTCCATGACTTCTGCCATAAAGCTTAACCTGCAACAGGGCAGAAAAAAGTGGGAGGTTTTTTTTTTTAAACATACATCAGAACTTAAAATACAGGACACCGCTTCGAAAATAGCAAGCGGCGCCTTGGCACGAATGCAGCTTTGACATTTGAACCGCATAGGATCTGCAAGTTGATGAGAATGAAAACGTAAGGGATAGAGAACAATTATTTTACTGGCAGCAAAAACGCTTTTGAAAACATCTGGAAGTGTAAACCACCTTGTAGTAATAGGGGAAGGTGGCATTATTAATATCTTTCTCCGTTTCATTTATAGCCCGCTTTGGCCACAATGAGCTCAGGATGGGGAGCGTGGCTATCTGTCCTCTCCAATTTATGCTTCTAACAACCTCGTGAAGGAGGTGAGCTTGAGAGTCACGGAGTCTCCCTAGGCTCAACGAGGACTAGAAACTGAATCTGCCAAAAAATCTTAGTCCCAACACTCTAAGCACAACAGCATACTGGGTCTCTTCCATGTGCAAAGACAGATGAGAGTCACGGAGTCTCCCTAGGCTCAACAAGGACTAGAAACTTAATCTGCAAAAAAAAAAAAAACTTAGTCCCAACACTCTCAGCACAACAGCACACTGGGTCTCTTCCATGTGCAAAGACAGTGATCAGGTTGACTTGACCTACAACACGTTGCTTTGTGAGGATCTAGAATTAGATAGCAAGGATGGCGTGTGAAAAATATTAAGAGTTAGTTGTTTCAGATCTAGAAATTCTAGCGCTTGAACATACCAGCTAAGTTAAGCTTCTCATCCAAACAAATTTGGAATTAAGCCACTGAAAGCCACAGGGGAAGCATAAGCGCACAGAGCTGAACCTGCAAGTAAACAGAATTTGAAAGGATATCTTAAGCAAGACTGCTGATCCCCAAGTAATGCTGATGTAAACCAGCATGTCATGCAACATTAGCAGGCAGAAGATTACGGACAGGTCTTGCAACACGCCGAGGTTCCTTCCTCTTGTGGCACCGAGATAGGATTTGTCAACTGTTCCTTACTGAACCTTGCTAGATGTCACTCAGTGTGCGATATTGCACGTCAAATAGCAATCGTAGAGAAAGAGCTATAAACTAGATAGTGTAATTTTAACTTTTTCTTGTTGGAAAGAATTATATCTGGCATAAATGGTTGTATACCCTTACACTTCAGTATGTATGCACAGGTAGCCTTGTGCTGCTGATTCAGAACCCCAGAGGAATAAAACTTCTCTTCTCTCCTACCCAGCGCTAATGGTTTCAGAATTTGGCTGCTAGCTCTGGATTTCTCCACTTGAACGTTGAATACATCTTTTCCTACAACTCCATAGAGAGGATTTTTGTTAACCTTCCATTATTCCCCCCCAATATCCTGTTTGCTTTTCTGGAATATTAGAAAATGGCCTTCCCTGCTGTTGGATTCCAGGTGTTCTCGACACCACACCTATACGTCCCAGGCAGCAAGCTAGTGCTCGGGAACACTGGGAGTTGTAGTCTGCCCAGTCTGGCTAGAACGAGTGACACAGGTAGAACTAGGTGGGAGAAAGTGCTCTGACAGGTATCGAGGTCCTAAACCGTTTAGGGCTTTATATGTAATCATTAGAACCTTGAAATCGGTGAGGAATCTAGCTGATGCAAGGCTATTATAAACAGTCAGTGATTCAAGTGGATCAATTTCTTTTTTCATTTCCCTTCCTTCTTTGATTCCTTCTGACTGACTGCCCTAATAAAGCACAGATCCTGACCTGGGAGGTATCACACATATCATCTGTTTCTGAAGGCTCTTGTAGTCACCCTATGTAGCTTGTTGGCTTGGTTGATCTATAACAGTGGTTCCCGACCTTGAGTCCCAAGATGTTCTGGGACTACAGTTCCAGAAGCCTTTACCGGCAGCTGTGCTGGCTATGATTTCTGGGAGTTATAGTCCAAGATCTGGGGACCCAAGGTTGGGAAGCCCTGGTCTATAACGATACAGACGCACAGTGTTAGAACTAGGCCAAAGATAGCGCTAGTATAATCAAACAGGCTGAGACAGGCCGAGAGCACTAGGAAACCCAGTTTTTTGCCCATAGATCCTGGTTTCCAGACGCTGTCAGAACTGATTATGAGACCCGGAATCTGACATTTGGAAATGATGGCCACATATAAAGGGGCAGAAACTTAAAAACAAGGTAAACAAAAAGACTTGAAGGGGGGGAGAAAGAGTGACAGGAAAAGCAGGAATTTCATAAACACGGTTGCATGAAGGGTCTAACCACAAAACAGAACAGAAATACACATTTATAAGCAACAATGCTTTCTTTTCAGCCAGAACAGAAAACACCTACATGATGTCCTCTCTCTTCACCTGTTTCTCGGCTGCTAGACGACCCGAGCAGCTTTCCGTCGCGTTCGGCTGCGCAAAGAGCTCAAAAATCACTACAAATGGCAAAGAGAAGATTATGGATATCAGTGAAAACACAGCCATCTTGTCAAACTGATTAACTAAGCTGTCAGAAATTTATTCTTCAGCAGGTCTGAACTCAAGGAAGCATAGAGCTGGTGTTATAAAGCCTAATTTTAGTGCTAATACACGGCTTTTTCTTACTAATGGAAAAATTAAATCGGTTGTGTCCAAGTTGGACCTCCTCGGGAAAGAACAAAGCGGCGTGATCCCTTGTTGCTCAGTACATTTTCTTTCATTTTGGCCCCGCCAGGCAACAGGGCGAGCCTAAGTCTTATCGCTTTTCTTCCGATGTTTATTAGAGTGCCTCCGAGAATACATTTATTAGAGTGGTTTTTAAATATCTTATATGGTTAGTCCATATGGCATACAGAAACGGATCGGCCTCATGCACACAGAGAGAGGAGGAAGGGGAAAAAAGGGTGAGAAATCCAGAACGCAAGTCAAATAGATTTGCATGATGAATGCATAGACACCATCTTGCAGAGTTAGCTCCTGTCCCCACTGAAGGCCATGCGGTATCAGAACCATCTGGCGGCCCAGGAATTAGAGGCAAATGTACATGATCCCCAGAGGTATACAACAGTTTCACAGTCGACACACAAAGACCAGAGTTATTCGTACTCGCTGTAATAGCGAAAAGGCTGAATTATTACACTCAAACAACCGCTTTTCTTAAAAATCCACATGCCGTACTTAAGCCTCAGAAATGCAAGCTGTGCAGTAAGAGTTAAGTTATGCACATTTTCTCTTTTTGTCAGAACATGATCAATAGGCAAGCTTTTCTTTATTTTGGTGGGTTTGTTCTCTTTTTGTAATATGCAATGCGACAGAGGAGTAGGAACAGAAATGTAGGGCGATTGTGATGGCGGGAGAGCCTCATGACGGTAGCTTCCATATAGTACGACAGATAAAAGGCAGCCCGTGAGCCATCAATGGGCTCCCAAGGTACCCCAGATCTGTGTGCAAACCTTCCCTACATGCTCCCAGCCAGCTTTCTACCTCCCCCTAAAAAACACCCACCCGGCCCCCTCCCTGAAAGTGCCTAAAAATATCCCAGAGCAATATTTCTTGAACGGGTGAGGGCACAGGACTCCCTAGAAGCTTGCCATAATAAAACTAGAAGTGGATGGTTTAATTTCCCTCTCCTCTGTTTTGGCCACTTACAGCCTGGTACAATCAGCGGACAGCACCCGGGGCCAAAAACATGGCCCTCTACGCCCTTGTACAATCTACCCTGTACGCCGAAATCAACACCACCATTTAGGAAGATTTTAGGAGGTAGACTGAAAGCCAATTTATTTTTAGATATTACTATGACCAAATAAAAAAAGAAAAGATAATTTCCTAGTTTAGTCAAAGCCAGGGAGGATTAAGGATTTATGCTGTTTGCGGTGTTCTGCAGTATTATGAAACCTTCAACCGAGTAGGAGAATTGGGTGTGTCAATTTTAAAACTCAAGAATGAGTCAAGTATGGGTGGAAGTCTCCCTCGAGGGCCACGGGGCTTAAGGAGCGCTCAAGCTTTCCAAGCCAGATAATTAGAAATAAAATAATTAGCTCATTTCGCTTTGTAGTTTGTTTGAAGAGTGACAGGAAGAGGCAAATGTTCCCCAAGTCTACTCTCCTTCAAGAAAGAAATGAAAATTTGCCCATTTAAAAAGCTAACACTCTTTGGTCTGACACGTTACGAAAGTCATTAAACCAGAAGAATTGGAACTGCAACACAATGTTGCAGTGTGCAATGCTCTGAACATTCCACCCCCTTTCCCTTTCCATCCCACTTCCACCATTAGTCAATCAGCATTCTGCAGCTGCAGAAGGTGCTCAGCCTCACTGCACCCCACCTCCACCATCCCCCAGCTGTTTGACCCCTGAAGATTTATGCTTGTGTGCGCACGTGTGTGTATGTCCATTCCCCCATCTAGAATCTGGCTGCCCCAAATCCTGCGCGTCCTTTGCCCAACCCAACTATGCTTTAACTTGTGGTTTGAAAAAGGAGATGGGAATCTGTCAGGCTGACCCACATGGTATCCCTTCATCTAGACTCCATCCAGTTCTGTGTCCCACCACCCAAGCTCTCTCCAAGCGCTGTCCAAGGAGAGTTACAACACACAAGTGCAATGTGGGCATTTGTCAATGCTCGCTCCAGATTGCTCACTGTAAGTTCACTTGCTATGTTTATCACATAGCTTGCAGTTAACCATTTGAATCCATGTAAATGACCCTCACAAGTCCTTCTTCCTTTTGGGGAAGGAAAGATGAGAGGTGATGAAGTCACTGCTTGAAAACTGATTCTGCGAACCCAAGTTTCACACTGGAACAGAATTATCCCCTAAGCCTTAAGGCACGGGAGAGCGAGTCTTTGCTCCCATCCAAAGTCTTAGATTCAACACCCACAATCCTTACCATAGCACTGCCACCAAACCAATAGGGGCAAAACATTATTTAAGGCACCTCACTGCATTCAACCGAACCCTCTTTCTCTTCGTTTGTGCAGCTTTAGCTCAAAATTAATCAAGCCGTTATTTCGAAAAGTGCGTCCCACCTCATTCTATCTTACCGTATGTACAACAGCATATGCTACAGTTATGCCAACCCTATTCCTACAAAAACGCTCCTTTTTTTTCTTCTCAGATTAAGCAGGATGTGCTTAAAACAGTTCCTTTTGGTCTTGCAGAGACAGTATCAACAAATAAAATACACACAGCAGATAAGGCAGCCTTGAACAGATGCACTCTTATTTTATTTAACAGCTCACCTTTTACCAATGAGCAAATATCACTTGCAAAAATACTGAACTGCTGTAGAGCACAGCAGTTTAAATCTCTGTCTATGGAGGCAGAGGTTGGGAGTTTGCTTCCCCCGCCCCCCAAGGGCCTCCTTGACGAGGGGTGGACTGGACGATTGCAGAGGTTGGGAGTTTGATTCCCCCCCCAAGGGCCTCCTTGACAAGCGGTGGACTGGATGATTTACAGGGTCCCTTCCAACTCTGCAGTTCTAAGATATTGTCTAAGTTGTATATACCAGAACCCTAAAGCCCACCAACTGGATTCAGCTGTAAAACAGTCGCTAAAGGGAAGAGTATTTTTAGTTTTGCCCTGTTAAACATTTCTCAGAAGTCAGCAACCCTCCACTGCATATCATCTACCAGTAGGTTTTATTTTACCTTTGGACCCAGCTCTGATCTAGCAACCAGATAATCTATTGGGCCCCAACACCTCAGCCCAAAAGTGAGGCTATAAACTAGGGCAGTGATTCCCCCATCTGGTTCCCCCCAGATGTTCTTGGACTAAAACTCCCGGAAGACTTCGCAGCTAGCTGTGCTCCCCAGGATTTATGGGAATTGTAGTCCAAGAACATTTGGGGACCACTGAACTAGAGGATCACTCCTCATTGTCATTTTTGGTGTCTAAGACTGATGAGAGTTGTAGTCCAACAATATCTGAAGGGTTATTCCTCACACATCCCATAAACCAAACACATTTAAATATTCATTTGCTTCACCATCCCTAGGAGAAAGAATCCCTTCCAGACACCCAAGCAGAGTGATGTGCAACCAGTCTCCCCCCCCTTTCTTGTTTTCAGGCTATCAATATGGAACAAATTATTACCATAGATACATGAAGTCAAGGCAGGTAATGAAGTCCCCCCCCGGATTTATGGAATGCATACAACCTGCTATAAATTAAAAGGAGATATGCATAATAAAAGACATACTGGTCATCTCAGAGCATGGATTACGTGTGTGTCTCTTCAGCAGTTGAAAAAAAACACCACCACACAAAACTGACTGACTGCAATTTTTACCTGCTTCTTGGTGTGACCTATTGATTCTGGGCACCACTGAAGGGTATGCCATGAAACATTATGGTCTGAGGAAACTGAGCCATAAGCATGTTGCTAATACCAAAAAAAGCAAGCACTATAAACTTTGGGTTGCTATAAAAGTGAGGAATCTCATCTTGGGGCACGTCATGAAAATAACGGACAGACTCCCACTCAAAGGCCTGCTATTTATACATGGGGTGTTGTTTTTCAAAACAACGTCCTTCCCACTTGAGAGCCTAAAATTACACTAAGTACACAAAATGAAATTATAGGCTCAATGTTTCGGCAGGAGAGCAGAACCGAGGTGCAAAGTGGGGGATTTAGCACAAGACATATTTGCAGGAGGACGCACGTGAGGTCAGCTGCAGAGGGAGCAAAATTAATTGCACTGTTGCCAGCTGCTTCTCAAACCCATTTGCTCATTCCTTTGGCAGACCCTGCCCTGGGATTTACACCTACCACGTGCTTGCACCACCACATGTCTGTAACACCCTTCCTACCCCAGGCTCAGTCCATATTTTAGGTACTGCCCTGCAACTAGAGAGCATGATGTCCGTAGGACTTTGTCTCTTCCCAATAGGTTGCAAAACTTATACTATATAAATCAAGGATGTTGCCTCATATCAAAACAGCCCAGTGATCAGGATAGCATAATATCCCACCAGCAGCAGTGGTCCAGAGGCTCTTCCCTGGTGATAACAACCAAGACACTTAAACAGGATAGAAATGTTACGGATTGAACACACCAAGCATGTTTGTGTTCTATGATAACCACAAATACTTAAAAAGAGAGGATCTAGCCTAACATAGACGCCACATACCATCCATACTGTAGCTCTCTATCTAACAATGGCTTCCTTTGTATCCTGAGGCACCAAGTGTGACAAAATCCAGAGCTCATATACCACCCAGTGATTGGAGTCCTGTTGCGGAACAATTTTTGCAGAATAAGGCCGATGATGTCACTAGAAGCAGTGATTTTCCCCCCCAAAAAAATAAAAACAAAAATTAGCGCCAGCTCCATTTCTTCTTCTCCCCTCAGATGTCATTCTCACACATTATTTTGTGTGTTTTAGCCATGGATATGTTTCGTGAGCTGGTCGCCTGACCGTAATAAATAAATTCTATTCTATTCATTCTCCCAC